GGGAGATGCAGTTTCTAGTACCCACTGAGCACAATGATAGCCCTTCTTAACACTGCCCTTGAGGTGTACAGGGATATGCTTATGGCACGTCTTTGTGGCATACTCCAGACCGATGCTGAGTTTGCACGCTGAACAACTGGGAACCAGGGGAGCAGGCTTGCACGATGCCAAGGCCAGGCTACTACGCTCTGTGCCCAAGCAAGGCATGTTAATGGCTTTAGCGCTGTGCTAACGCAGTCATATGGCCGTAAGCTGGCTCAGAGTGGGCAGACCAAGCTCCACGTCTTTTGGGAACACAGCATGCGCGTGTACACACACATACATAGGCACATGCACGCACACACACACGAAGTGCTCATATTCCCCATTTCATCATGCTCTTGTTTTTACATCATAACTGCTTTCCCTCTTGCAAAGGCTGGACTGGACCCCCATTGCATCTCTAAAAATAGCAAAGTTGTTCTGAGGCAAACAGGAGACGACACTCAGTGGAAGGAGGAGGAGCATAAAACCCAAGTCCTTTTCTTCACCATGGTACTGAATTGGAAGTCACTGATTTTCTCAGTTTTCCACACATTCATTGGGATAATAGTGCTACCCTTTGCAAAGTCCTTTAATGCAGTTAGTATTAAATAACTGCTAAGTGGCAAGGGTAATTTTCAAAGTCTGTAAGCACTTAAAGACTTCGTGGGGATGGACCACGGTTCTACGTCCTGTAGAACCTCCCGGTCTACAAGATAGGACCTCGATTCCTACTGCCAGCACAAGGAACTCTTTCATCCAGATCTGAGTTATTTGTCTCTGGACTCTTGCAAGCCCTGCTGAGATCCCACTTGTGAATTTAATCCTTGTGTTATGGTGTGGGTCACGAAGCAAAGTGCTGCTAGATTGCCTTTATTTATGGTGTTCTTTTTGAACTTCGATAAAAATGCATAAAACCACCCAAATATTATGAGTAGTCCTTAAATGAATTGATTTTTGGAGGAAACTTCTGAAAGAGGACATATACCACGGTATATGAAATTCTGTTTTGACTTCAATGCTAGTTGAGTACAAGTAATCAACAGGACCTGTTCCTGGGCAGATGCCATGCTGAATTTCAGCTAAAAATGCACCTTCTGTACTACAGTGGAGAGTCTTGACATATACTCATCAATCAATCCCTTTCAGAAGTTGGCATTTAAAATTCCTAGTGTAATAGAAGAGTGATCCAATCCAGCAACACTTCTTAGCAGTGCTTGGAAGGTTACAATATTCTCCAGTTTTCCAGAAGGGGTAAACTACTACCTGGAGTTTCTTTCTTCAAATATCATCATCACACCTTCACATTAAGTATTCCATCTGGGATGTAAAGATTACATGGATAAATCAACTGTGTGACATCAGAGCAGACTACATTCAAATACTGTCTATAACCTCCAAAACCTGACTTTGGCATTCATGAGATGCACAGGGAGTAATGCATTTCCTCAGCCAAAACACTTACATCTTTGGAAGGCTTTCTGAGCACGTCTCCCACACCACCACCATTTCGCAGGCCTTGGTTTAATACGGTCACAATGCACATGAGCAGGGTGTCACAGGTCCTTTCTAGTCCATCCTCTTCCTCTTCACCTGCAAACAGGAGAGCAGCAGCTTTAGGAACCACAGCATCAAAGGATCGCTCATCGAACAAAGCCACAATTCTGTATTTGAGAAAGCAACTGCAACACACATCTGCCTTTCATATTCTTCAGCAAGAATTTCACTGATCGTCCCTACGCATTTGCACATCGCTGCTGGTGATGTACTTAGCCTGAAGAGAGACAGAGAAAATCCCAAGCAGTTCTCCCACCAGTAACTCTGTTAATGACCCAGAGCTGCCATCTCTGTTCACGGGAGCACCCCTTTTCCGTGCAAGTACACCCGCTGGTTTCAGTATGACTGCTTTTTCTGTGGGCCTCCTGAGCACGCAGCTGACACATACAGGAGAAGCAATATAAACACAGAATTAGAAGCACATTCGCAAAAGGATTGTCTTCCTGTGAAATCACTCCTCTACCTCCTCATGCACAAGCCAAGTCATGTTAGCATTTCAAATCATTAAGGAGGGGCTGGCTTTTATACGAGTCTTTCCACCAGCACACGTGCCCAAGCGCAGGTCTGATACACATTAAATGAAAGACTCCCCCTGACCTCAGCTTGAAAACTTGGATTCTATTCTTATCTCTGCTGCAGAGCTGCTGCGTGGTTTTGGCTGAGCCACAGAGGGTACTATTGTGCAGGAGATATTTGAACGTGCAGAGGAGCTGGGCTGGAACACCAGTCCCCAGGGGGACTTCATCTGCCCTGGCCAGAATTCCTCCCACCACGAACTCACCCCCATGCTGTGGCTGCATCAACAGCCTCCTTTTGAAGGGCCCTGCTTGAGTTGCTCCCTGTGTCCTGCTGCCTTGCACTGACGGGTCAGGACTGGGACTGCCATTTCTCCTGCCTGCCTTCCACTTTAGGGATGCATTTGCTTAAGCGGTGAAGGCAGCGATTCTCACTTGGTTTCCTTCATGCACTTACTGTAACGTAGTTCAATAAATAACAACATCCTGCGGCGATAGTTAACTGAAACAGAGTATTTAACAGCCCCAAAACACCACATCTGGGGCAGCGAGATAGACTTTGATAAACTGAATTGACGGAAAGCACTCACGTTACAGACAAGCAATTTGGATTCAAAGCATGGGTTCCCAAATTGTGGTGTATGCATCTCGATTGGTATTTGCAGAAAGGAGCTGATATCTGCCGCCTTTGCCACCACTGCTTTTGCTACACAAGCAAATGAAATGAGAAAGAACTCCTGATTTAAGGAACTCTGAGTGAGAAGAGAAGCAAAAGCTTACATCAGGACAGACTTCCCTGTTAAACTATACGGTCATTACAGATAATACTACCACTAGTAACTCCAGGTTTTAAAAAAAAAAGCTTGAATATTGAAACTGAAAGGACTGAAACAATAAAACCTTTTCCTCTCTGTCACATCTGCAATTTTTTTCTAGCACTATGATCTTAGTCATACCAATTCATCTCCTCTGCTTTTGTACTGTGCCTTTATTTCCCTTGTCCAAATATTACTCCATCAGTTTATTCAGAGCTAATTTCTGTGCTCGAGAAGATGACCATCCATAAGATAAATTAAAAACCTGTATACATACCACAGGTTCTATTTCTTCTAGGTAACTATAGGACAAGATTTTCACTGTTCACAAGACCAGGGGCCAGGTGCTGGAAACAGCAGATGGCCACATTCTGGTGAATGGGGAGGATAAATCAGGGCTGCGAACGGGAAGCTGCAACACCAGAGAGTTACCTGCTAGAAAAGCTAACTCACAGCTCTCCATGTCTACCAAGATGCAAATTCAGAGTAAGCCCTGACACAAGCCCAGCCTTCTCTTCTCAGCCTGGAGAAGAGGAGGCTGTGGGGAGACCTGATTACAGCCTTTCAGTACTTAAAGGGAGCCTATAGGAAAGATGGGGACAATCTTTTTAGTAGGGACAGCTGTGACAGGACAAGGGGTAATGTTTTTAAACTAAACCAGGGTAGGTTTAGACTGGATATAAGGAAGAAATTTTTTACAATGAGGGTAGTGAAACACTGGAACGGGTTGCCCAGAGAGGTAGTGGAGGCCCCATCCCTGGAAACATTCAAGGCCAGGGTGGACGGGGCTGTGAGGAACCTGGTCTGGTTAGCGGTGTCCCTGCTCACTGCAGGGGGGTTGGACTAGATGACGTCTAGGGGTCCCTTCCAACCCCAAACATTCTATGATTCTATGATTCTGTAAGATAGCACTCACCAGTGGACTGGCACATCTTACAGCACAGAGAATCAGCATCCCACGTTGCGCCCAGAAGAGCAAACTCAGGTTGCTCTTTGTCAGAGAATCAGACAGCAGGCAGCCTGAAGTTGGCAGAAACCTCCAGTGCAGTCATGTAGGCTGTGGGGAGTGTACAGACATCCACATGTCTACTCCCACTCCCAGACGTGGAGCAACAAGAGCTACCTTCAATCTGGGAGACGGATAACCCTATGGGCACATGTTCTGCCCCAGCTGGTCTGCCCTGGTGCTCAGCAGCACTCATAGCCCAGACTCAGGCCCTGTCGACACAGACTATGCCCATATCACCAAAAGGAGTGGATCTGTACAGTGAAATGTTGCTAAGGACCCAATGTTGACACTAATTGAGGTTCAGGGGGGTTTATTTGCAACCAGCTCCAGCCTCGTGAGTAGCCCATTAGACAGCATTAAGTAGGCTGTCTTCTGATTAAGTTTAATTCAAAGGTAATGCAGGTTAAGCACTAAGACCACCCCACAATGTTAACCACAGGGTCGTAAGTGAGATGATAGGAAGTTTTACTTCAAAGATCCTCATCTGGTGGCCCCCAGCCACCTGGCTTCTGGGCCTGATCAACACAAGCACAGGCAGGGGAGACACACGTGGATGTAGCTGAACTTGTACAGGGCAGGAGTGGAACGAGTCTTTGAAAATGTCCCCTTTTACGAACAGGTATCTCTGCACCTTTCTAGCACAGGTCTTTACGGGCTACAGAGCACAGAGACACATCCTGTAGGATGTGAAGTTCCTTCAAGTAATAAAGTGCTTCACCAGGTGAAGACTGGCTCCCAAGTTAACTCCCTCACCAACATGAGCAATGACTGAGCACATGTTCAAACAGTGAAATTCAAGGTAGAAGCACAGTCTCACCAGAACAAATGATTAGTGGTGATCTGATCTGAAAAGCAACATACTTCTGTCTCCACTCTGGACCTGAGATGCCACTGAGAACATTTTATGTTTCCTACAGGCAGCTGTGGGCTTCTTCATGCTGCTGCAACATGAATCCCACCAAATCTCAGGCTGAAGTGCCTTTGCGTTCCACTGCGCTCACGCTTTCGCCAGAAGAGAGATCTGTCCCGGGAGGAGACTGAAGGCAGTGCACTACTTTCTGACAGGTGATTCACTGGCTGAGCAAAGCTGTTCTTGCTGAATGTGGGTTTTTTTAATGTTACTGGATTAATAAAACTTCTCCAAGATTAAGTGACAGTGCACTTAGATGTTTTGTATAGCCCCCTTTCATTATTGTTTAATTTTAAAGAAACAGTATCCAAACAATAAGAAATTTAAGATTTCTATCATTCAAAGAGTTTGGCAAAAGCCACACCACATCTCTTCTGACTGATTGATTACTCTTTGAATGCAGCAGCTTTGCCAATAGCTCTTAGACTGTTATCTCTCTCTAGTCAGACAGCTTCCCATGTTGTTTATGAGGCCTGTTTACACACCAGATGGGGAGAAAAAGCCTACTTTTATAGCCCTCTCCCTGACACCCTTGATCCTAAAAACTCAAAAATCAGTAGTGGAAGAACAAAGCACATGAAACAGCATTATACTGGATCACAGGATAAGAAGGGACCACTTAAGTCCACCGTTTCATCCCCCAGCAACCACAGGCAACTGTGGCAGCAGGTATTTTAAGCCTGTAGACCATCCACCGTGCACACACCCACACTGCAAAGGCCACAACACACTAAACCAAACTTAACACCTGTAGTGAAAGACCAACCACCACAACTGGACTGCACCAAAGGAAGAGAGTAGAACAGATGGAGTAGCACCAGCATCAAAGGTCCCCGTCTAGCAGTGCATTTGGCTAACGAAACCCCCGAGTGACCCTGTAGCCTCAGGGCAAAGCAGTCTGTCAGCTTGATGTAGGCAAAATTCCTTCCTGACCCAATATCTGGTAACTGGTATCTGGTAACTGTCCCAGCAGGACACACTGGACAGACCTTTCATTTCAGCTGAGCACATTTAAAGCTGACAGGGTCCTTCTGACATATAGACCAGATTCACAGTGCAGGTATGGAAGCAACACCAGGTGAACT